AAAGCTCAGCCTCCCTGCCCTGTGAACTGCAGACAAGAGATTTAGCAGCCCTGCCTGGCTCAGCCGTGCCCGGTCCCTGCGCGCCAGACGGCACTAAGCAAAGCAGACCGTGGCCTGCTGAAGTTTTGCAGCGTTTTTACACGCGGGAACCTCCACTAGCGCATCTAGAGCAGCCACCTCCCGTCTGGCCGCACGGGTCTGCGTTGCGATGCGCGCCCACCAAAACCTGCACAGCTCACTGCGGTCCCTCTGGTGCTGCCGCTTAGATCCAGGCCAATCCCTTCGTTTCCAGGTGACCGTTGAAAGGGTTAAGCACGATGTTTGTGCAACTGCTCTGCATGTCTGCATGTGAGGCTACTCCTGCCTTTGCCCTCTATTGCATATTTCTAAACAGCATTGAAGCACAGAGAAATGTTTTACTTGTAAAGGGGGGTGGGGGGAGAGCAGGAAATCTTCCTGCTTTCAAGAAGTCCTAAATCCCCAGTTATCCAGTGTCCAACCATCTGGTGTCAACACCCCAAGTCCAAAGCATAAGCATAACTTCTTGTTGCCCAAAGGACGCCCACCTCTTAGAAAAGCTGCTCGCTAGCGTTCCTACTGCAGGCCACATTTCTTTCGCCCTTGGAGCAAATATTTCAGCGGCTGTTGCAGCCCCCCCAACCGAGCTCAGAAAGCGGCTATAGCGGCAGCACTAGAGATTGCATCCCTCCAAACGCACCCTTAGCACGCTGCTGTGCAAAGCTTTTGGTCTGCAGCAGCAGCATCCGTTTGCCCTGCGCGGAGGAAACTGCACGAGGTCGCGCGCTGCCGTTGCTGCGCGCGGCCCGCAGGCCTGCGCGGCTGCTCGGGTCCCTGCTGAGGAGCAGCTTCCTAGGGCCGACGCGTCCAAAGCGACACGGGTGCAAGCCCTGGCCTCGCTTACCAACCTGCACCTGTAGGTTTTGCTTTCCTACTTCATAGATTTTGCTCCTCCTTTTATTTCGTTGCAGTGATGTTTGTTTGATCTATATTATTTTGCATTATTTTTTTTTCCTTTCTGAATAGATGGCAATCTTTTTCTTACTGTAGTTTCTGTTCTTAAAAAAAAAGGGGGTAACAGATTGGTCTGAGCGATGGGAAACTGAAACTGGCCTGACTTAACCTTAAACAAGGAGTTTTCCCAAAGTCCCAAAGCTATACCTGTTTTACTGGTATAGCTCCTACTTCAACCTGCGTTTGCTTATCCACAAGAACCCAGCTTTTCATTGTGGATCAAACTCAATTTCTGAAGTGTTCTTCCACTTTCTGTGGATGTTGCTGAACTTTAAAAAATACATCATCTTTCCGTCCTTGTAGCATGATATCAATTCAGGCATAATTTCTTAAACCACTGGAAGTTAGATAAATGATTTGCCATTTAAAAGGGTAAGTTCTTTCTTTAAATTCTGTAAGGATAAAGAGTATCTCCCCCCTCCACAATTTTTTAAGTTGCTGATAAGAGAAAGAGTAAAGAGCAAAGATTTGCCAGACCTGAGCGTAGTCTAACAGTTAGGAACTGGAGCGTTAGGTCTTCAGCTTAGGCGGCAGTCACAGCTTTCGCGCGGTGCTATACTTCATCAAGAGGAAAGTTTCAAGGCAATATGAGCTCTAGCAAGACACAGAACAAATCTTTCTCTCGATACGGACTTGAACGGCATTTCTGGCTATGACATAGCATCTGCAAAGCCGGCACAGGGCAGGGTCCTGCAGTCACACCATTTAAATCGTGTTGGTCCTGAAAGGCTGTTTTTCTTCCTAACGAATGTAGGTTTCTACTGACAGGCTGTCTGACCTTTCTCTAAAGATTCATCTCTGCTCAGTGACCCAGATTTTGTAGATTTTTATGGATTCAGAGTGAAAGTTGTCTTAAACTGCATTAAAACACTCTTTGCCATGGGCTGTTGGCACTGAAAAAAAAAAAAAAAAAAAACCTGTCCCCCTCTCCCCCGAGGGGTAACCTTACCTACACATGTTCATAACTGTTTTGTATGTGTATGAGAAACTGGACCAACTTGACAAAATCAAAGTGAAGTGCAAAGACTTTAGCTTGGGAAGGCTGTACGTTTCCTAAGCTAGCGGCGGACAAAAGGGCAGGCAATTGGGCAAAGAGGTGATTTAGAAAAAGGGCTGTCACTTATACTATGTATGCCAAAAATTAAACCTGGCTGCCACACTACCAATGCGAACAGAAAAACTTCATCTGGGACCATAAACGATATTGGTCTTAGACTATAAGGAAAAAAACATTGATTTGTTTGTTCTCTGTTCCCGTCTTGTCGCCATAATTAGGAAATAGAGGAGAAAGATGCCATTGTTCGTTTTAGAAAGGACAGCAGTAGAAATGTAGGGAACTGCTGACCCCCTCTCTTTTACAGGCTATTCAATCACTTCTTTCTGTTTTTGAATTTCTTACAGCTATCAGATCTGGAACATTTTTTTTTTCTTTTTGTAAAGACTTTACAGTTTTCTTCTGTTGCTAGAAAAACAGGAGAGGGAGAAAAGTCTCTGAACATGTATTTGGCTAAACATCAAATTTCATGAAAAATTAATCAGATTTCTCCAAGCCTAATTATACTGTAGACACACCCAGGGGAAAGTCATTACTACAGCCTAACAACACGTTAAAAGCTCCAGTAAATAATTGAAGAGCAGTATGGACACATATTGTTTCCTGGATTTGCAACTAACATGCAACTTCTCACCGGACTTCCAGACTGCTTGGGAGTAGGACCTGAATCCCTCTCTTACACAGCTCCCTCCCCATTTCATTCTTTAGATACCTCCCCTTTTGCTTTTAGTATTCTCCCTCACAGATATTTTGAATCTGATCCTCACCCAGTTTCTGTGCAGGGCTCAGGCTCCTTTTTAACAGTCCATTCCTGATCCTAGGTGCCAAGTTGTAACAAAGAGAACAAGACTATCGAGTATGCCAAGAAGAAGCCATCCTGCTGCAAGCATCTCTCATTACTTAGCCTAGTCATTCCTACAGCCAAACCACTGCAGTCCCTGTCCATTACCAGGGAGCATCTCCTCCCCCACGTCCCTTGGTTTCCATTACCTGAAAGGGTAATGCATCTTGCAGACAGAAGCAGCAATATATGGGTTGCAAAGACAGAGCCTATTTATGAGCTGAATGGCAGTTTATATGTTTCTGGGAAGATGGGCTAGTCTACAGCGGGAGCAAGAGGATGGAAATTACTACGGCTGGCTTTTACACTGGGTTTCCTAGAGGTACTGAGGCAATTTCAAGCCTGCTTCTTTACACACACACTGGTTTTCAGAGTGCTGGTCTGCCCTGCAATTTCAGTAGTGGCAGCCCCTTCTCCAAAGTGTCTCCTGCTTTCAGAGAGCAGAATCATTTTTATTCCTGTGGACCTCAAGCAGCGTGCCAGCTGCTCAGCACTTTGACAACATTAGCCTCAAGTGTAGTTAAAGTCCTTGAGTGAACCTGCAAGTTGGGAACGCAGGTGAAAAAAATAAATTCAACTACTGTGCAAAGCTTGGAGATGTTACGTCAGACGAAGTATTACAGCTGCATTTTTTAAAGGATGTGCATGGTTGCTAAATGCGTGTGATCCTTCAGAAAAGAGCAGTCGGCTCGAGCAGTTCTGGAAGTGCCAGCCCGGACCACGATCTCCCCAGCTCCCAGGAACGACGATACACCACAACTTAGTTAGCCCTGACCTGCTGGGCAGCGAGCCCCAGGACCCCAGGTGCCCACCCGGGGGAAGGTTTGTCCCACGGGCGCGGATGCTCTTTGCTCCCTCCGTGGACGGGCACCTTTCAGACTGCTCTCCTGCCTGTCAGACCCACGCGACAGGTTGCCCTTTTCTTTGGGGGAAGTCGGAGAGCTCTGATCTTCTGTCAAAGACTGTCTTGATCTTCCTCCAGTCTGAAATCAGCTCTCATTAGGGGATGGCTTTCAAAGACTAGAAAATGCCCCTTATCTCCTCTCCCAAATCTACCAGCTGAGCTTTTCTTTCACATACATTTCATATTCAAAAACAAATGAGGCTATAGCTTTGAATCCCCATACCCATCAGGGGCAGATTAGGCCTAAATCCCCCAAAGCTGTGGGAGCCCTGGCCACCCCAGGAGGCAGGCGGTGTCCTTGCCAGCATCTGCAGCTGCATTCCCAGCTTTCCTCTTCTCTTGGTCTTTCTTGCCGTGCGGTGCGGTGCTGCCGCTAGCCACACTCCTGCTTCCTTGCTTCTCTGGGCTAGTGGTGGCAGAGGAGCCCCCATTTTACTTGTTCCCAGTCCCGCCAGGATCTGCTTTTTATTCCCAGTGTAGATGCAAACACACCCTAATCTCATACAGGGGGTCTCTCGGGAGCAAGTCTGCCTTATCCTGATGCAATGTGATAGCCCTGATCTCAGGGATTGTTTCCAATAGAGCTATTGCAGTGTTATAGCGGTGTGGGCAAATCTTTCCTGTCATCACTGTCAGCCAGAGTCGAGAAGCACGAATCAGACCGCTGCTGAACGGATTCTGCCCCCCTGGGACCCAGGAGGGGCTTCCCACAGTGGGAGCCTTCCCGCCGTTTCACCCACGTGCGCACATGTAAGGCGGAAAGATGATACCCTATATGAGGGACAGCTAAGCTTTGACTTATCCCAGATAATCTCTTCCCATCTAGGGTCTATAGAAGCATTAAGGATGACTCTTTCCTTCTGCTAAAGCCATTACATCGGTGGAAGCGCATGTGCTGCAGACAGTCCTCTATGGTCCTATGCGGGGTGGCCTGGCACTGCGACGTGTGAACAGGCCTGGGTGCCTGGGGTGTCGTCCTAGCTCTTCCACCAACTCCTGTCTTGGAGCAAGTTGCTTTGTGCCTTGTTGGGGCCTATTTTCCTTAGAGGACAAGCAAGGAGTCGCGAGGGGAAGCCGTGAGAATGCATTAGCTAGTAATTAGTTTCTGCTATGCTGCTTTTATGGCGTACATTTGAAACCTATTGCAAAGTTGCAGCTCGAGGATTAATTGAGTTAATGGTGACATTAATCACACTAATCTCTTAACCTTCAGAAAAAGGCTAGGAATCAGCAAAGATGGATGTTAATATTTCTCAACCCAAGTAAGGCTTTTGTAACTTATAGCCTCAGGACACCACAAACTCCCCAATCAAGTAACTGGATGAGAGAAAGAAACGCAGAACAGCAACCCCCCTCCCCAGTCCCAGAAACGCTCCTGTTGTGATGGCTGAGTCAAGTAAGAGAGGGCTTACTTATGCTGCACGCACCCTACGAGAAGCAAGGTTGTGCGACTTTCCCACCCGGGTCGGTCTTGTCCCCGTCCCTCAGCCTCGCGGCATCGTCGGACGTTCCCGCTCCCACCGCCGTCCCTCGCACCCGGGGCCGCGCTGGGGACACCGGGCGGGTGGAGGCGGGTGGCTTTCTGTCAATGGCTGCGTTTTTGCATGAAGCTGGCTGCAATTGCGTGTTTGTCCCTGTTGCAATGCCACGGAGAGGATACTGGCCGCTCTCTGGGCACACTGGGAGTTATTCTCGTTTTTCCCTTTCAATATGTGCCGGTAACTGTGATTTTATTGCAGCTGCGCTCAGTAGGGAGATGGACTGACTGACCTACTGCTCTTCTCTGCTTTTGGATCTCTGGAAGGGCTGAGATTTTAGGGGTAGGCCCTCCTTGGGTCTTAGCTGCGTTAAATCAGACCTGTCCCTGATGCTCAAAAGGAAGCCCCCATTCTGATACACCCTGATTTGGGGACTGGCTTGGACCAGGGGGAAAAAGAAAGTTCTGCCTTTCTTCTGGGACGTCTTTTTAAGTACTTTCCTAAAACTAGGTTTTATTTGTGGATGATCTTTGCAATAGCAGTTTTCATGTGCCTGACTGGGGAGACTTAGACTCTGTTGATCTACAGTGAGAGTAAGTAAATACAATTTAATGCAAGAATCACAGGGTGAATCTCACTTCATTTAGCTTAGGTAGCTTAAGCAGCTGTTTAGCTGCGTTTTCTGCTATAGCTTTCAGCAATACTTTTCTAATGCTCCTTCTGAATAGGAGCTAGCTGTTAGGCTAACGGTACCTCTTTGTGATCATCTCATCTGGAGGTTTCACCCAGTGCTTCCTATTAACCGACAGCCATCTGCAATCCCATGCACTAGCTAATGGCAGTCATTCACGTCCTTCGAGGATTAAGGCCCTGACCCCATCCAAAGAATATAAAGCCAAGAAAAGTCTTTCTGCCTGCTCCCACCAGTCCAAGGCAGTGCACTCTTTTTTTGGTGGTATGCAGGATCCTCTGCATTTACACCAGGGAGCGGGTGCAAAACGTGGACATTACTCCTTTGCTCTGCAAACGCAGCACAAGTGAGATTTGGATGGGGCCAAACAAGGGGCCTGTTTAACAAAACAACCTGCTCACAGACCTCTCTCCTGGAAAGCCTAGCGTGGGCGAACCTCTTCGTCCCCATTTAAATGCAAATTGTGAGGGGCAGTGATGGCGAAGTAGCATCCAACCAACATTGATGCTAAAGCTGCTTCCTCACCAGACTGCAGTATTAGTCCAGAGCTGAGCTAGAAACACACCAGCCAGAAAGTCTGCAGGCTGAACTGGCAGCTCAGAAATGCTGGAGGTGTAGTCCAGGGGCTGCTGAATTAATTTAATTTTGGCCTGGTTCACAACAGATTGGATTATTATGTTTTCCTAAGAGCGAAATCCTGTTTCTTATTTCAGGGAGCCTTCGGTGCTCTCAGCTACATCCCGTGCTCAGCAGCGGGGCGGGGGGACGAGGAGAGCCTGCTCTGTTTTCTCTCCCAGACGGACAGCGCTCACTTTTTTCCTTTCATTCCCACAGCGCCTGCACTTGCGATTTGCTGCAGAAGCGGGTGGCGGGAGGGCTCGAAGGCAGAGCAAAGGCCAGAGAGAAGCGAGTTGTTTGGCCACGCGAAAGGGAACGAAAGCGGCGGGGAGCGCCGAAGCGGACGCGGCCCAGCAGAGCTGAGGTTCAGTCTCGCGTTTCAGACGGTGCTGTTTGCTGCCTCCCTCCCCTTCTCTCCCCCCCTCCCCAGTTCTTGCCTCTGTGTTGTGCTGCTCTGCTGCTTCTCTTGTGCCTGCGTGTTTAGCCTTTGGGGATGACGAGTGCGAGCTCTAAGGAGATATAACCTCTTCTGAAAAGCCAGTGTTCACATTTCCCTCTCCCAGCTGCAACTTGGTTGCCTCCAACTACAGTCAGTCCAACCAGCCCTACAAATGCCACAACTATCGCCACAACTACCACCACCACCACTACAGTGGCCACCACCACCACTACAGTCGCCACCACTCTACCCACCACAACTGTCGCCACCACTACAACAACTACAGAGAGGGCTCCGGCAGCCACCACAAAGCAGGAGTTTGGTACTGCGCTTTCCTCTTTCCTCTAACCTCTTTAACCATACTGGACCCTTCCCCTGCCTCTTGCTCAGAGTCAGGATTAACAGCAGGCGTAGGCAGTAAAAGGCTTCCCAGGGCTTTGGGAAGGGCTTTGCAAAGAGTTGAGGTGGTACAGATGCAGGAGTTAAGGCACGCAAGTGGCTCCCGGGAGTTTGGGCGGTCTGGTCCTCTCTGGGGCATCCTCCTGGTCCCAGCCCCTCTGCCTGAGCCCAGGGGATAACGCAGCCCTCCCTGGGGTGCTGTGATGTTTAATTAGCATGAGCATTTGGGAATGAGGCAGAAGACCCTATGAAACCTCTTAGAAGTATTATCATTGCACCTGCTCTTATTGCCATTCAAAAGGGGTTCTGTTATTAGAGAAGATGTCGCTTTGAATCTAGCCCACCAACCGTTAGCTAAGAGACCTGTCATCACTTATAGGAGTCTTTTGGTTTATGCTGCTGCTCTTTGTAATGTAACCAAGTCATAGCCCACAAGAAATCTGGGGAAGTGTATAAAATTGCAGCACGCAGGTGTATTCCAGATATTTATCAGGCCAAGATAACCTTATCGTGCAATCAGCTAAAATAGGATGATCAAACTTCATTTTGGTGGAGGCATATTCTCTACTATTTGTGTTTTACTGACAGACATGGAGAGATGCATCTCTCTGAGCCTTGCTTTTACAAACACTGCAATAACGGTATCTACAATTAATAGATAATTACATGGGTAGTTATACTCAGGTTATTAAAAAAACACTAATAGCAAAAGGGAGCACAGTCAAAAGAATTCAGTTATGTAGCTGGATAGCATACACTTCAAAAACACAACTGCAAAAGCTACCAAAATCTGTTATTTCTTAGTAGAGAGAAAGGAGTTAATAATATTGAATACCAGGGTTGACACCCACTTAACTCAAGGAATTTAAACGCTTTCAGACCCCTTTCTTTACCTTCTTACATAAGATTAGCTCAGGATGGTTAAAAGAAACAAACAAACAAACATATGCTGGAAGGACCTGCCTCCATGTGAAAGGTACTCTGCAGTCAAATAGGTTCGAGAATTAGCAGCACGTTTCCTATGCTGCGCTAATATGCTTATTAAAGATGCAGTCCTCAGCTGAGAAATGTAAATCCGCGATCTAGCTTGCAGCACCAGACACCTCCCCAGCTAGATAAGCCTGGCCCTGTGCAAAGCTGCTCAACTGGAAATAAGCAGAATTCATACAAGGAGCTGCAGTGCCTTCACAAAATCAATTAAAAAACTGGACCAAGAGATACGGATGCAACTTATCCCTATCTGTAAGTTCTTCGTGATGAAGCAGCTTCACAAGATTACTACCACAGCACAGTCACAATTAAGCAAGTACATGAGAAAACATTCCTAACTGAAAACAGGCAACTGCCTGGAAGGGCGCACACTGCCGCAAAGCAGGGCAAGGAAACGGTAGGAGAAGACACAGAGAAGCTAAAGCAGTCGAGGAAATGAAAGGGGAACAGTGCGTGTCCCAAGTCGCCCTGAGGACACGCGCAAAGAGCCTAAGCCATAATGCAGGTAGACAGGGAAGCAGTGTGGCAGCGCAGGTTGTATTTGGAAGAGGGATTCTAGGTCATGATTTCTTGATCTTACAGCGTTAGGTTCTCCCTTGCAATTTCTTACAAGTCATGTAGCTGCTGTCGTTCCAGGAACTGAAGTTACTAATCTGCATTTTGCCAAACCAAAACCAGAGCAACTGCTGAAGTAAAAAAATAATGATTAAAAAAAAACAACCCACCTAAAGTATAATGTATTCAAAGTCACTTATATGCACATTAAGCTAATGGAGTAGCTCTACTTTGCTAGAAATAGAAGTTCACCCACTCTTCACAGCAATGTCAACATTCCTCAACTTCAAATCAGAAACGAGTGACTTCATTGCCCCACTGGCTGCCTGTAGACCTAGTATGAAAATATTCTTTCCCAGTCTTTCTCTCTCAGTTATGGTAGCGAATCTGTGCGCACTCATGCATGCATCTCTTGCATTCATTTGGGCACAAGTTTAGCCAGGTGGTTTTCATACCGACTCACTGAAACACTCACAGAAGTGCCACAGAAGTCTTAAGACTTTAGAGATAAACTGAGTGCAGTTAGACTTAAATAACAATATGAAATGATCTCTTGCTATCGAACATCCCCCAAATGTTTAAAATTAAGGATTTCATAAGAAGTAAACATTTCCTTGGGCACGGTCATAGGCTAAGGTAGAGACACTAACTTTAGGAATGATTCTGTAAGAATTTACCAGTGCCAGATGCTAGATGAGGTCTTATTTGTGTATAATCCAAAATACTAACTCCTGTTCTAACCTGTCCACCAGCCACCAATGGATCGTCCATATGGGACATAAGAGCTTTGGCTAATAGTAACTGGGCAAACATCACCTGGAGCCACAATTACTCTGCAGGAACTGACTTTGTGGTTAAGTATATCACCAGTAAGCATCAGATCGCATGGGGACTCTATACGGTGGTGATGCCATTAGAGATCCTGCCAGCTCCCAAGGTTTTAAGCCAATCTATGATGCAATCGTAATTACTGGGTATTGAATGATGCTGTATGGCCACATGGAGGCTAAGAGAGGAAAATGTCAGCACGTGCTCATGACCGTTTAGAGCGGACCAGAACTATTCCTGTTGCTCTAATTCACAAGTGAATCCCCCTCCTTGCACCGTCTGTTGTGAGATGCTCATATTTGCATAGATAAGCAAGGCTGTTATCATTTGTTCCAGGATGCAGAGTTGAGCCATATGTGGTCACAACATGAACAGCTTTTAAAATATGTATCTATACTACGTATAGATACACACACGAAGGGGGAAAAAGCAAATAATATCTACATAAATTGGAGGACAGCTTTAAAGAAAATGCATGTCTTTGAAGGCCTTTTTGAACCTGGAGTTGGCAGAATCATCTATGATCACAAACCTCCTGTCCTAACAGATATCATTGTCTCTGAAAACCATAAGGCTGTATTTAGTCGGAAACTCAAAGCTAATCTCTCTCCCTTTAGTACTTGTTTAGAAAAGATGTTTACATGTTCTTGGGGTGTTGTTTTCTTAATTGCTAGGCAGTGATAAATGCTGCTTATCTCTAACTTTATTTCCCAGCCATTTCAGCCTTCACATTGTCTAGTAAGTTGGTCTTAAATCGGCATTTAAAAGAAAGCAACTGTGCATAATTATTGACATTGAACCACTTTTGGTTGTTTACAACATTGTTTAAGAGACGAACTTGCATACTACTTAAACCAGCTTCTCCTAATGCCCAGCTGATGCCTGTTCTCACTCCAAAATCTCCAGGCTTTCATTAAGTAAAGCAGTATTTGCTATTCTCAGCCCTCATTAGGGAAGGAGACCATCCTCCCCCCTCTGAATCATTTCCCACAACTCAGGTACTCATCAGGTTTCTGAACCCAGAACGCAAAGTGTCAGAGCTCCCAAAGCAACCGCTTCCGCCCCTTTTCACCACGGAGAAGCACAAAGTACAGGCAATGCCCTTCCACAGGCCGAGCACTGAGCCTGTGCTCAGAACCATCTCCAACAGCAATGTCTCGAGATGCAGTTGCCAGGACCTGGCAGAGATCCACAGCATCAGCCTGTCTTTCAGTCTCCTCCCAAACAGCCACGGCACCTACCTGAGCACAGGCTGCGCTGGCAGAGCTCCCCACCTTTCTGGTGGTAGTGCCATTTTAAGCAATAAGCACACGTGGCCTCAAAGTAGCATTTCTCCTTCCCTGCAGCACTGCTGAATTGGGAGGGTTGACCCTGGTCAGGCAGAGTGCTCCATCTCTCCAGAGCCACAAATAAAAAACCCCACTGCAGGCTTGCTGCATTAATCCATTTAACACTTAGCATTAAATTCATCATCAAATTATTCCTGACATAGTGCAAAGAACAGGTCAACCTTAGGATAGAGCTTAAAAGCAATCAGCGGCCCAGGGCCATCCCCACTCAAGCTAAAGGACTGCCCCTCCCTCCCCAAAAGCACGCTATCTCCCAGCTGGGGTGAGCAGTCTTGCAGCACGTATAATGCAACTTCACCTCATTAAAAGACTCCTTAACCTACAAATAAAACTGCTGCATGCTCCCAACCACAGTTGCTGCTTACACTGGGACCCTGTAGCACAAGAGGATGGGCCTTCGTCCAGCTGAGTGGGATCAAGCAAATTCCAGACTCTGTTGTAAATACCAAAATATCTAGACTGAGGCTGGACAGAAAAAGGACCTATAAGTAGGGAGAGTTCTCCTAAATAGCTACGGATACTTCTTTTCAGGACCACAGGCAGGGGTACAGCAAAAACCATACCATATTCCTGCATCACTGTTTTCCTTCTATTCCCAGTGAGGAACAATCATGGAGACGTTAATAGCTCCCGGACCATCACACTGTATTATTTCTGCTCAGTGGCTAGGGATAGCGTAATGTATTGCCTGCAGTGTCAACAAGGTAATCTCTCCAAATCTCCTGCTGGCTGGGTTTGATGTGCGGTTTCTGTTTCTCAGGTAACAAGACAGAGAAATCTATCCCCGTTAAAGCTCAGACCCCTTCCTCTGTGCAACTGGCTAATCTGACGCCCGGAATGATGTACAAGTTGTGGGTATTTCCCATATGGTCTAGCCCCAGCGAACACTCTTACATTACCTTTACGACAAGCTCAGGTGAGAGGGGCTTCCGCCCCGCTGCGTGCTGCATTTCCGAGGCATGGTCACTCCATCCTGAGCTCTCCCCGCAGACGCAGCACGTCCGGGGGGGGCGGTTTCACCATGACTGCATGGAACCAACTTCATCCGCTCCATGGGACCCGTGCCATCTCTGCCCTTATTAAAGAGCTGCCTCCTCAGCATCTCAGCGAGGTTGCTCCAAGTTGCTCAGCAAAGGAAAGCACAAGCCCTGGTAGGGCCAGTAATGGAACAGGATTGATTTGAAAGAAAGGGTCTTTTAATGAGGGTAGAGAACATGCACATGTTGTCACGCAGCTCCGCTTGAAGCCCTGCGATGGCTGTGACAGACCCTGCTGTGTGTCTGCATTTTCACTTGCGCATTGCTTCTCATGGTGTTGTTCGTTGCTTTGGCATAGGAGTGTCCGTGCGCGCGTTTGGGCTAGGTTATTGCACAGAGCTGGAGCACAGCAGCAGGCGGGCAGATATGTGTGATGAGATGCAGATGAGGGACAGTACCGGGAGGGGGGAACGCTATGTTTGCCAAAGGCCCCAGTGACAGTCACGTACAGCTTATGCATAGGACTCTTCAGAAGGATAAAACACCAGGTATGTTTCCTCTGGCAACTTTGCATCTAATTGCACAAGCAATTTTCCAGTTCTATCACCCGAGTGATTTTTATAGCATCCTAATTATGGGCTTCCTACACTGTCCACTGAATGCCACAGAAATACTCTTACCGACTTCCACAGGCATTGAATCAGGCTTTATGCATTTATAAGACTCCACTGTTCACACTTGATGAGTTTCAGTAAATCGAAATAGCTATAACTTGCTCTGTATTCACTCAAGAGTTTTGCCGTAGGAATTGATGCACGAAGCCTGTCAACGTCTGTGCCTAAACACTTAGGTGAAAAACCAAGCAGCTGCCAACACTGCGCCAAACTACACTGAAAAACATAGTAGCCCCTGTAGGGGAAATGATTTTCAAAGAACTAAAATTACTTTGTCAAGACCCTGGCATACAAGGGAAAGCTCAAGCACTTACCAATCTCTTTAATTAGAAGTACAAAAGCAAAATGTTCCATCCACACCAAGCAAAATGTTCCAATGTGGGAGAGGGGAGCAGGATCTCACCCCCCAAAACTCACCCCTCCAAATCTTATTTGGAGTTGGCAAGCCATAACTATGCCAAGTAATTCTCTGATGTGCTAAGATGACAAAGGGACAGATGTCAGCAGCTAGTATTTCTGCATGTCTAATGCTGCTGGTTATTTATCAGCGTTGGGCAAGCGTTGTCCTTGGGACTGTGTCCTGCCCCTGCCTGGCACTGCCAGGCTGCTGTGCCTCTTCATCTCTGGCTACAACCATCCTGTGAGAAATGGTGAAATCCACAGCACAGCATCCCTTAGACCATGCTCATCTTTGCAGAGAAGCATGTTTTCATAGAGGGCTTATTTTCCCTTGGGTTCTTCCCATTGCTCTGCTGCTTTGCGACACACGGAGCAGAGCACGCCTTGCTTGCCTCGGGAGGTTCACAGCTGCGCTTCGGCAGGACCAGGCTCTGACGTGCAAACTCTCCGGAGCTGAGGCTTCAGCTCCCTACACTCCAAGCCTGTTCCTGTACTTCAGGGGGTCGATTCTGACCCCAAACAATAAAGGAATCCATTGCTCAGCTCAGAGGGTGGCCAGAACCTCTCCAGAAGGGCTCCCGCTGCAACGTAGCAGCCTCGATTCCACCCTGCAGCTGACTTGGAAATGACTACCACCCCTTCAGCTGCTGCTCCCACCCTGCAGAATGTGTCTGCTTTCCTCTTTCCGGATAGCTCTTCCTCAGTTTGGACCTGTCTTGTCTTCCTGCCTGCCTTTCACCCACTCTGGGATTTGGGGGGACGAGGGGCATTCTCCTGCACAGCGGACACCAAGGGGTAGGGAATCTTTAAAAAGAGGGGGGCAAAGAAAGTAATATACTTGGCTGATTCACACTGGTAATCTTGGCATATCAGTTTTCTGTAATTAAAGAGTTCCTAGTGATATCATCGTTGAGACTAAAGGATTTGCCACCTTTGTTCCTATGACAGAGCCCAAATGATGCCCCAAGCCCTCTCCCATGGGCCCGCAGAGTGGTGCCGCTCCGGCACACATGCGCGCTGCAGGTCCCTTTCCGCACTGCCTGCATACTGCTGACATGAATGGTCAGCCCCCGTTGACTATCATGTGTCACCAGGAACGCTTTTGATAAGAAAGCACTGGGGGGCTTTTTTCCCTCCTCCCCCAATGTTTTGCAAATTGCTATTCTAAAGATTTCTTCAGCTTGAATGTAGATAACTAAGAACTAGTCCACCTGTACCACAGCTGCAGGACACCGCACTCCGACTTCTCTGCTGGATATCGAGCTTTCAATTAATCACAACAGTTCTTTCCAGTAGTGATACTCCAAAGCTACATAGCTTAATGCAAAGAACTTCCTCTGATCTACAACATTTAAACATGAATAATCACTAAAACTAACCCAACAGTCTGCTTTAGAAAAAAGACAATATTTTTGCTGATCTTTAGTTTACAGTCAGTTTTGTTATTGGCATATAAGCCATGACTATTAGATAACACGTTTTCTGTCACAAGATTATAATTTAAAAAAAAAAAAAACAGTCTCTGCAGTTGCATTTAAATCAATACCTGTTCGATCACACAGCTGGTTTCTATTATTTACCCTTGATGCTAGCCTTATATTACAGCAAATCAAAACATCCTCTCTGACAGCCATGCACCACCACTTCTCCTTTTGAGTGCTGCAATGACAGTCATTCGTTTACTCTTAAATACAAGATTGCTGTGACTATAATTTTGTCGTCATCAGTTGCTTTTTTGGGAAGGATGGCAATTATACCTCTACCTTGATGATATGCAGTGCCACAATCCTACTGCAAGATCCCCTAGCAACTTGGCACTCAAAACGCTCCCTCCCAAGCAAAACCGAGCCTTAATCCGCATGGCAGCATGAAACACAACCCTTGGGCTGCTTTGGCATTTGGTACTTTGAAGAACCTCTCAGTTCTCCCTTAGCATTGCTTTCCATAAAAACCCCATCCTAGCAGGACTGCTGATACAATCTTCCATCTCAAAGTTCTCCGGTGCAGCTTTATTCCCCTTTCCACCCCGAGCACTCAGTTAATTGAATCTAATTTCCAGCCCCATTCTGTTATAATCTCATTCTCTCCATTATAAAAATTACATCTTCAAGGACTGTTTAGCTCAGGTTGTATTAAGGATAAATATTAAACGTGGCAGCATTAAAGAGAAAAGCAGCAAAAAGGCCAAAGTACACAACCTACTCCTACCCACGTAGGAGCTCGGTGCCTAACGCTGCTTCCGCGCTAGAAGAAGGACATGCCATAACGGAGATGAGAAGTACGGCTTTTGCCATAGGCCTATGACCCTTTGAGCCTTTTGAAAAATTCTCTCAAAAATCCTGAACTAGGCTATAGCAAAGTAATAGCAACACAGAGCTTTCAGTGTCTGATGCCTTTTTTTTTTTTTTTTAGCAAGTGGGACTCTCTCTTTTCATTTTCCTCTTTTATCTGTGAATTTCCTTGTGTCGTGGTGTGGCTGCACTTTTCTGCTGATATCGTGGCTTAGAATTCCCCCCGAGGAAAGCCTCTGTTATCTTGGGTTCAGTTTTGATAGAATAAGTACACCCCAACAACGTGCTACAGCCCTGAAAGGGCATGGTTTAGGAACGTTTGCCAATTCAACCCATTTTAAAGGTGTTGTCTCTTCTACAAGAGCCCTTCATTCAGATTATATTAATTGAGGGTTATCCTTCATGCTTTCTTTATCAGCACCATCTTGTTCTCATATTTGAGCAGAAGCTGAAGATTGATACTAAAAACGTTTTAAAAGGCAGTGGGTGCTGGGAGCAGTCAGTGGGTAATTCAGGAGAGGGGCCCTGGTTTGGAGGCCTCCATGGATGGTGTTTGGGATGGCGATGGAAGCAAGCTGAAAAACTGTACATCTGGTTGTAGCTTTCCTAAATAACGCTCCCCTCTGTGCTATTTATGTACTGTATCTGTTTCTAAAAAGTCAGGTATATTTGGCAGTGCTGACCCTCCATTATCACTTCTCGCGTAGGATTTGGTGGTTTCTAAATCCAATTATCTACCATTTCTCAGGCATGACTTGCTACCAGCACTTGTAGAAGGGCATTAAGAGATGGCTTGTCACTGCTTGTACACTGTTCACAACTTCGATTTAAGCTGTTCAGATATATTAGGATGGGAAAAGGCTCTCTTTTTTCGTATACAGTGACTAACAAAGTCACCCAGTCAAACTCTGCAGCTCTGCTTGGAGTTGGCCTGAGCACAGAGCCACGGGAAGGGCATTTTCACATCTGTTCTTGATGCAGTACTGTTCTTGCACAGGTTGGTAACTGTTAACCCAAGGATCAACCACCCATTTACTGGGTGCAAGTGTTTCACTGCTTGTAACAACCTGCACCTACAGAAGACTGTTGTGTGCACTGCCTCACAACGGGTACTGGCTGGAAAGTCTTGTTGACTTGAGTTCACCCATATGGTTAAGCAATGCAACACAATAAAGACGGTAGCACAATCCTTTCCACTATTCCGCAGCACTATAGACCAGACTAGCCAAGATCAGGTAACAGCAGCAGCAGCAATCTAATTTGAAGCTGGTTTTTGTCACATGGGTATCAATAAAAAATGCTCACTGCACTGTACTTTCCATTTCAGGCAAACCTCTGCCAAGTCCCAATTCAGTCCGGCCCAACTCAGCTCTCCCCTTGCTCCTGCCAGGAATACCTCTGTCTGTTTGCACTGCAGTCTGGTTAAATTAAGCCCCCCTGCTGTGCTGAAGGTTATTTTCTCCTTCTGCTCTGTCTTGCTGAATACCAAGCGTGTGTCAATGACAGCTAGAAAATGGCAGCTTGTTGCTATTTATAGGACACAGATTTGTCTGTCTGACCATGTAAAGGAGCTGCAAATAACAAGTCAGAGTATGTGTGGTAGAACTTGGCAGTCAGGTGTTGGATAGGACTTTTCAGTGCTATCAGACCACATCTCAACTTTCTGGGACCCAGCAGTTGTTCCTCAAAGATCTATCACCAACCAGGGCTTTGTACCCAACACCGCATCCCCGCTCACACATTAGCCAAGTCTTGCTGGGCCTCCACATCTCCCTTCTCAGCCGCCCTGTGGCTACAGAAAACAGATGCCCCACTGCGACTGACTGTATCTGTTGCATTCAGTACCAGTTGCTGGCAAAGCTCAGATAATCACCCCAAAGGGTAGAGGCTAGGTCTCCAAATGCCCAAGCACGTACCAAGGCTCAGAAGCAGGGGCTACACCCTGCCGAGCACCATCGCTGGCTTCTCTTAGTTTGAGGTGAGCCCTGGAGAGGCTGCACCAAATGCTGTCTCTGGTTTATCTGCTCAGGCAGGACTCCAAGCACAGACAATGTGCAGAGCAGCTTCTCGCTACCTGCAGCCACCCTCAAGCACACAAGAAAGCACACGGCTGCTGGACCGCAGCGGCTGCCTGCCAGCCGTCCCCCATTGCCTCTGCCACAAGGGTGAGGCTGTCCCAGGCTCCCTGCTGGACCTCAAGAACTAGGATTTCTCCCAGCTCAAGGCTGCTAACGAGCACTGCAGAGCTCAGTAACCCTCTGGATTTAGTGGTGCTGTTCTACCTAACTTTATGCCAGGGATTAAATCTTTTAGCCATTTGCTTGGGCACATTTATTTCTGCACTTTTCATAGAAACCATCTCCAGACGCTGGAAAGGAAAGATCAAATCTGTTACCCAGCTTCTTTTGCCATTATTTTCAATGCATTTTTCTCATTGGTCTGTGCTAGGCTTTACTTTATGTTGTGACCCTTTGCTGTGTGTAGCTACTGCTAAAATGTTGAGTTGATCTACCATTAAAAAAAAAAAAAAAGCCAAAAACCAGTTTCCTGTATTACACTCTCAGATAACCTGGTCAATACACCCCACTCAAAAATACAGTGCTAAAGATAGATCATTTCTAAACTGGTAGACTGAGTTTTTCTATAGTTTATTCCTCTCTGTTGTCCTAGTCTGTCCCTTATAGCTTCTTTTCTTTCAACTTCTCCTCCCAGCTTATACTAAGAATCATGTGGACATCGCAACCCAAGGCTGGTTCATTGGGCTGATGTGTGCCATAGCTCTCCTGGTTCTTATTCTGCTGATAGTGTGCTTCATTAAGAGAAGCAGAGGCGGAAAATACCCAGGTAAGAGCACTACATGGCAATTTTTTATTCTCATGGTTTAAACTTTTCCAGGCTTCCAGGAGCTAATCAAATTGTATTGCTCTCAGATAGATGCTTCTGATTTAAAGGGCTTTTTTCCTCCATAGTATGAACGCTATTATTAGTGGAAAGCATTTCAGTTAATTAAAGGTTGAGTGAGTTCTCTGTGCTATGCAGGAGGCAGTCTACAGAGCTGGACACTCCTGTTATGCATGACCTGACACCCACTCTGCAAATTTGCTCATCCTCTTCTAGAAAAAGATCTTTTCAGGCAAAAATCTCATTAAATTTTCACAAAGCAAAGATAAGGTAGCTTAGGAAAATTCATCAATTAATACATCTTCTCTAGTCACCTTGAGCTCTTGTGCCCTGGTGCCTCAGCGCTGTAGTAACTTTTGGGATCCAGTCCCGAAAGCCCTTCCATGGGAGGTTGCAGAGCTTTTTTATAGAATCCATGAAAGTCTGTACCTCATCCTGCAGGGATTTTACAGAAGACAGCCATGAGGCCAGCTCTTGTTACTCTCTAGTTAAATCTATATCATCTATACTGTTTTTTAACATGTTGGGGATGTGCTTGCTTACACAGTGCGAGATAACAAAGATGAGCATCTCAATCCTGAAGATAAGAACGTAGAAGATGGGTCGTTTGACTACAGGTATGCTCCCATTTGGCATGTGTGTTCACACGACCACTCCTGTCCCATCCACCCTGCTCCCCAGCCATCACAGACCTCACCGCTGTACCCTCTCCCCATAACTGAGGTATTTCTCCCACCTTCCTCCTCCTGCCTCCTTCTCTCAGCAAGTTCTCTACCAAAGGGAACATTTCCTGCCTAAAACCCTGGAAAAGTAACCAATCTGAGAGTATGCTATTAAGGTTTCCTTCTTTCCCTGTCCCTCCTCCTGGGAGGGCCTGTCCAGGCAGAGACATGGGACAGACATCAGCTACTTGAGACACAGTTCTCATCAGGCGTGCATCAACCTTAATGACTCTCAAAACACAGGCACACACTTGGCTCTGAAGCAGCCTGAGGATATTTCAAGTATATAACCCTGTAGCTCAGCCTCTCTCCTAGTCGTAAGGCAGCATCCAGAACAGAAATGTCCAAAGTTATGCTTCGATCAGCCCTGAAAGCATGTAAGTGTACTTATTTGGGGGTCCGCCTAAATCCAGATCAAGGCTTTTCTGCAAGATGCTGAGGGAAACCCTACTGCAATGGCCTTTCGGAGTGGCAGCATAGCCAAGCAGTGACTCTGCTACAACAGCTGTGGTTTCACCACCGTTCGATCAGCATCTTTCAAACGAAATGGCATCCTTTGAAGGAGAGCATCTACTTTTCCTCCAAACTCCCCAAATATTTCAAATACGGGCAAGTGTTCCCCAAACCTGCTCACATTTAGTGCAGCAGTCACGATCCTGTTTATTTTCCTGTTGCTTCCAAGGAACAGAAAGAGGTAAAGATGCCAGATCCCACTGGATTGCACACACTTGCCTGATGACTGGGATGTATATACCCAGTTTGCACTTTGAGCATCTACAGTGTGCTTTGCTTTTCTTTTTACAATGCACCTTTCCATCTGAGCTGAATCCAAAGCCCAATTAGGCTAGGATGGGTTTTTCTCCTGACTTCAAAGCAGGGGTTAATTAAACCATATGTCATTACCAGTAAACCTAGCATTGCAAATTAAGATAGCAAAGATGGGAAGGATTTATTTACGGTTCAGAAGAGAGCTTCACATGTGCTACACCAAAGACTTCAGAACAAGCAAAGTGAATGTATCTGCCTGCACCCTAAGATATAAATGACAGGTAGAATAACTGCATTCTGCAAGACGGTCATGTTTATATCATTAATAGCACAGTAATTACATTTCAGTAGTGATTGTTTTTCTCCAAAGGATGTCATAAGCCCAAAGCTCCCCAGTTTTCTGCAAGGCATGTGAAATGATGTGGACTACAAATAAATCCCAGAGAAGAGCAAAATAAGCGGCACAATCTAGAAAAAGGTTGCCATTCTTTATCGCCCTAAAACAACATGCTGGGGCAAGATCTCCTTTACTTTCCCTGCTAGATTCAGTTATCACTCCCAGTGGTGACAAGTCACACTGGTGAACTGCCTGGGGGCCTCAGATTGGGGCCCCTCCAGTCCAGCTAGAGGGGCAGAGGCATCTCCCCACTCCTGCATTTCCTCCACGCGGATGGTGGAGTGGGAGCACTCGGCCCGTGGCCCTGGAGCACGGGGTCACACAGCTCATGGGCCAGGCCAGCTTCGGTGATGCCAGCACCCGCGGCTGTGCTCCCTGCACCTCAGTGTCGCTCCGCAGTGGTGGTGTGTTGTCTGCTCTGTGACACCAGACCCATCGGGAACACGGAAGGGCGTTTCCAGAAAAATAATTACAGGGAAGAGAGATGCTTTTTATGTCACCTTAGAGCCACTGGTAAGAAGCTGAGGTGATTTGGTAGAGTATTGCAAGATTAGAGCTCAGGGCAGCTCATGAGCTCTCAGGGACTGAGTCACCATAGTCACAGTCACTCTGGGAGGCTGTTTTGGGGAATTTTAACAAAATCATCCCTAGACAGGGTAGCTTTAAACACACGTGCACTTACATTAAGTCCATATACAAACAGCAGTCTGGGGACATTCCCTTCAGATCCCTGGCCAGGACACGGCAAACAGCAAAGAAGAAATTAGCTCAGACTGGTCCCATTGCAGGCTTTGCCCTGCATCAAATGCATCGCTTCCCAGGCATGACTTTATAAATGCAGACAGTGCTAGAGGGCCTCTTGCAGATACGATCATAAATACAGCCACATACTACGCTGCTAGCTTCCCTACTTTGATCAAAGTAATTCCTTAATGCTCCGAGTCATGATAGGGAAGCTTTTGGTTCCTTAATTTGAGGGCTGGCTCAACAGAACTAAGAAGCAAGTCTAAAGCATCTCATCACCCAGGAGCTACAATACACAATGCTGCAGGTTCACTTCTAGCACCTGGATCCCAAACAAAACCCTCATAATCGAGCTTCTGGCAGTACACACAGATTTCAGAAATCTGCTTATCAAGAGTCTGTTGTGGTGGCTGCAGTCAAAACCTCCTCACCACCATCATTCCTAAGGCAATTGCATTGCCAGGGATCACTTGCACAGAATAGGAGGAAAACCAAGCTCTTAGCATGGCTGTCACCTTTCAGGATGCTATCATGAGTTCAGTAATGCTGCATTTACTGCCCAAGCACCATCCAAGGGGCTAAATGACAGTCCAGGCAACAGGAAGAAATGGGATGGGAATGTTTTTTCCTACTACATTGTGGCTCCTGCTTAGCTGCATCCCAAACATTTATTGACAGCCCCATTCCCAAGAGCTTGAAAGCTAAAGGCAGAGGTTAGAAGAAAGGCAACAACAGGCTACTTGGATATCATTCATACATGAATAACCAAAGTTTATGACTTTCAAGGATTTTTGGATTGGGGGGGTCATTATCCATAGGTTTGAGCTTTTTGCCACCTTACTGGCAGTGGATATGACCTTTAGAGAAGGCCTGTCCAGTTACAGAATATCCTATCAACAACATACCTTCTAGAGGCATGGATATGCATAACTGGGGCAAGAGTCCCCCATAGGAGAGTGAGTGAAAACTCCCCCGAGTCTCACTGCGAAGGGGGGCGGGGGCAAGCACTGTGTCAGAGCACAGCTTTGGGTCAGAACCTGGGCCAAGCTCCAAAATGCCCCAGTATTTTCAATCACACTGTTCCATGGACTACACGGAAAAACAAAAAATAAAACAAAAACCAAGCCCAAACAAAAAATTTCTCCTCCTCTCCCTCCCAGGAACAACAGGTTTCCTGGGAGAAGTAATAGGAATGAGGCTTCCCTCAAGGAGGCAGAAAGGAAGGTGAACTTGAAGGATTGATATGAAATGCTGTTGGCTGATTAAGATTCAAAATGATTGCAATGTTGAGCTCAAGGAAGGTAGCAATTAGTATTTCAAGGGAGGACAGGATCTGAGCTGACGTGAGTTCTTCATTGGTTTCCCTCCCCACCTCCACATAGCATGTCTGATATGCTCTCATCATATCTCACGTCCTTAATGCCCTGTGCATGCAACTTTCAAATCTCTGCAGCCTATAATTAAGAGATACTGTCACATCTTTCTGTTCCACTAACAGAATAATGGTTTTCCTGGGCAGAGGCTAAGCTGTGAAGCTTATTTTCAAAGCAGGAGACCATTATCCTTGGACAATGTTCTGTGCCAGTGACTGTGCCTCATTATACCAAATGTTTAAGCTGCACATGGGGGAGTCAGCTGGAAACCTGGGCCGCTGGGAAGGGAAAGTTGAGTGTTTTTACCTTTCGGTAAAAACACTCAGGACGTTCAGTCCTGATTCAGGACGGCATCCTACAACACAGGTGTACACACTGCAGGCAGCGTCAACTGGTACCTAACTGCCCACCTCAGTAGAAATCAAGACCAAGATGGGCCTGGACATGCAGCTGTCCAGGCAACCCTAGAGAGGGGAGGAGAAGTCTCAAAGCAGCATGGGGAGGAGCAGGCTTGTCGGTAGGGATTGTCGATGCCCTCATGCACCAGTATTATCTTAAGATGAAAACCTAGCAGAGGGACAAAGGGAAACAGAGCTCCTTTCACTTGGCCCTTGTCCTGCTGCATATCGCTACCCAGCAGCGGCTGCTCTGCCCTACAACCAGCTCACTAATTGACTTCCACAACCCTTTTTTAACAGCCCATCAGCAAACAGCCTGTTTTCTACCTGCACAGTCCACTGCTGTTTTGTATGAGCTTTCTCGGGGAAGCCAATGAGGCTCATCCAGCTCTCAACAATTATAGTAGCTCCATTTGGTATAACGAGGCAATTAGCTCCATGAGGAATGCAGTGACTGTTTTTTTCTTTTCCTTTTTTTTTTTTTTTTTTTTTTGGAAAAGCACTGCCCCTGTAAATGCATACCTCATCATATCTCTCTCTGATCAGGCTCTTTCTGCTTCTCTCTGTTTTATTCCCATTCTTTCTTCTCCTTTTCACCTGGTCTATCCACATGGACCATGAAGGTCTCTTGAAAGGTAGGATCATGTGCTGCCAGAAGTCCGGCACATTTAGCTTTTTTTTTTTTTTTTTTTCCTTCTAGCAGTTCGTTTCTTTCATAGCTGAAAATATACCTTCCCCTCCCTATTCCCCTACCTGCCTCCAGCCTAACATATTAAACAGGATCCGTCTAACTCATGCTGAGACCGGGCCGGTACTCCCATGTCCAGCAAGTTGCATTTTGCTTGGAAATGCTCTGTGGGCCGGGGGCACCTCCGAGCACGAGCCAGACTCTGGACCCAGTACTGGAATAACTAATCCTGCTCAGCAATGAGACCCGCTGGGCTCCACAGGGCCCGACCGACGGTCGTTGGCCAGGGTGAGATGCAATTCAGAGCGACTTGCCGCTCAGCCCGGCTGCTCGGGTCATGGACCGCAGCGCACGCAGCGCCTCCCTGCGTGCTCCGCTGCCAGACACCGAGGGAACGGCGGCAAGGGAACCGAGCAGAAATGATAGCTCCTATACAATCAGCACACTTTTTGTCTCAATTTGGGTAACCTCCCTCCGGCTCAAGCCTCTCGTCTCAGTGATGTATGCAACTCAAGACTAGGTTTCCCAAATGGTTTTGATCTGGGTGCTCTGGTTTTCTCATGCACACATCAAAAAACCCTATAAAAAGCCATTTTAACAGGGTTCTGTTGCATCAACATGCCAATGACTACCTGCTTCACCCTCTTAATGTACTAACATGACAAGTAGTACTGGAGAGAGGTAAAAGCTGGGGCAGGTTTGGGAAATTCATTGTTTGGCGCTGCAAACCCCACATTAGGGAAAATCTGGCTCTAGATTCAGTTTCAACTGAACCCATCCCAAACCCTGGGAAAAGATATTTCAAACAGAAGGATCTGGTTTTTGCCACTCTCTACTTGACATTTATTGGGCTTTCTAACTGGCAGTCCTGCTTGCAGACTGAATTCTCTTCCCCTCCCAAAAAGGAGCTGCTTACACAGCTAACAAGTTAATTTTTACTGTGATGCCAAGTTAACACAAGGCCTCAAATATTGGTTTTGTATTATTGCTTAATTTGCAAAGTGCTGATATAAGGAAACGTGATATAAAGCTGCAAGTTTTACTGTGGGGCACCAAATTCCTCTGCCGCTGCAGAGAGCTGAAGCTGTTACAGAAATGGCACGAGGGCGATGCAACGCCTTCCCCGGGCTGCTCCCCTCGCTAAGGGGCGTTTTGCTCTGTGGCCTGCGCGAAATGAAATAATGAAAACTAGCCCCAAAGCCCAAGAAACTACAGGAGGTTTTCTTTTAAAGGACCTGAATCATTTTTGGACAGATGTCTCTGCAAATACAACTCGGAAGCAGTCCAGTACTTTTACCAATTTTAAGAAAAGTAGAGAACAAAGTAGAGTGCCGTACTGGGGAGCAAGTTTTCCGAGTCTGCTAAGTCCGAGCTAAAAAAAGAAAAAAAGGGGGAGGAGGGATGTTAAGGTATGTATGTGACGCCTTCAGGAGTATTACACAATTTGCATGCTGGATGTAAGATCAAACATGAACTAATAACTAGCTGATACGAAAATCCGTTCTTATATATAGCAATCCACTCTTGTCCTCAGTGCAAAATATCTTTATTTATGAGATGCAAGTCCTTACCCTCCCTAGAAAACACTTCTCCCCAAATTTTTGTTAAAAGGGTTTCTTTAAGGGTTGTTTTCTTCCTGTGGGTCAGACTATTTATTTGTCAGTGACCTGGCTTAATCTTTCCAATAAAAAAAAAAAAAGAGCAAAGGACAAAGAACTGAACAAACAGGCTTAGATGCTCAGAAATAAACTTGGAAAGGTAAATTTTCATGAGTTTTGGAAGTTGCATAGAACTTGGCATCCTCTATATGCCCCCTTGCAGTGCTTTGAAAACTTTCCCCATTGCATGTAGCTATCTAAACTATAGAGTGTGATTTTAAAAGGAAATCTGAAAACAAACCGCAGCAAAGAAAAGAGTGGAACCAACTAGGTTACACCAAGGCTGGCTAAAATGCTGAGAGAGAGTATAACTAATGACAAGGAAGGGATATTTATAATGTACATCCAGTTGGACTGATCTAAGCATCATATATAACACTGCTAAAAAAAACAAAAAAAAAAAGAAAAAGAAAAAGCACGAAGGCTGGGTTTTCAGAAATGCCAACCACAGTATGAATTGCACAAGCAACTGTGGGCCTCCTGCACGGAGGCTATTTCCCCAGCTTCACTTAAGTATTGCACATATCAGGACTAGCTTTTTGCTGTCAGTGACCTGCTTTTCTCCTGCATTTGCAGTCTCTGGTCAGCATATTTGCACACTGGATTTATTCTGAATATCCAGACCTTGGGTTTTAACCATGTCCCTTGTAAGCCCCATTCTCAACTCTCCCTGTGTCTGTCTGTCTTCTGCTACCCAGCGACGAAGACAACAAACCTCTGCCAAACAGCCAGACCTCCTTGGACGGCACAATAAAGCAGCAGGAGAGTGACGATAGCTTGGTGGACTATGGAGAGGGGGGCGAAGGGCAGTTTAACGAGGACGGCTCCTTTATCGGCCAGTACACGGTGAAGAAGGACAAAGAGGAGACAGAAGGCAACGAGAGCTCAGAAGCCACTTCTCCAGTCAATGCTATCTACTCGTTGGCATAGCGCAATATATACATGAAAAAAAAGATGACCTAAGACACATGTAGTGGATGGGGGTTAAACAACAGCCGCCGCCACCACTGCCTCCAACAGAAATGTGTGAATGAAACGAACCAACAATGACAAAAAAAAAAAAAGAAAAAAAAGAAAAAAAAAATCCAAGCAAACAGGCAGACCAGGGGGCTGCCAAAGCCATCTTATCCTTAGCAAGCAAGCAAATGGCAAGGACTCCCGAGGTGCTGATGGGTCGTAGCTGTAGCTGAGATCTGAGCTGAACCAAAGGGGCTAGAGGGATGCGCAAGCGCTGTTCCCCCAGCTTCAGGGCCTGGCTGCCGCCACCCCCAGGTCTTCTCCACCAGCCCATCCAGCTCGGCTGTGCATGGTGGCTGCCATCGTGGCTCCCCGAGGCTCTTTTTGTTCTTTTGGGAGGGAGTTAAAAGTTTTTCTTTTTAATCTTTGCAGAAAGGTTCCAGATAAGGGGAAAAAGAGTTTGGGAGAGGGAAGAGGGGTGAGCAGGGCCTTTCCAGAGTAGTAAGAGCAACATAAATGCATAAAAGAAAAGGAGGTGGGTCAGTCTATGGGTAACACCACTACAGAACTTTATTACTGAGATGTTCATCTTTACAGCAGCGCCTCACTCATAACCTTTCCCAAACAAGTCAGCACTACAACCTCCTTCCTGAAATATCAAGCAGTACCTGACCAGCCTGAAGGGAAGAGCAGGTTCCCCACCACTTTCCTTGGCACGGATGGGACTGTGCTGTAACTCGTGTCAGGGCTGAACGTCCACGTTGGTTCAGGCACCACAGCACGTCCCCACCTGCAAAGCTCGCAGGGAGATGACCCTGCCGTCTCCATGCAACTCGAAAGAATCCCTAGAGAAAAATAAGTTGCAGAAGAGCTTCTGGGATTTGCTTAAGGACAGCCAGGTGCAGCTCACCCTCTGATTCCAAGTGATGGCTCACTCACCAGGATAACAGCATTGCTCGCCTGGATAATTACAGGCAAAAACATTTTTAGTCTTTGCTTTGTAAGAATTTGGGGGAAAACCACCCCCAGACCACGCCTGCTTTCTTTTCAAGGCAACTCCATACATCTTATGTAGCAAAGAGGGAGTGGAAGCAGGACCAGTATTAACATAGAATGAAGGGACCAGTAATTGCTAGTTTAAAACAAAACAAAACAAAACCAAACCACCAAATCAGGATGAGACAGCACCCACTTGGAGCAGGTGGGAGAACTCCTGATATCAACCTGCACTGCAACTCCTGATCAGCAGCTTGAACAGTTCAGGGACGCGAGTCCCTCAGGAAAGCATGATGAAAACACAGCTGTATGAGGCAGGAATGCAGGGCCTGATGTCCACATCTTCCCCAAGCAATGGGGTATGAGTCAGATTGACAGTGTCTTCAGCTAAAATCTCCTCCTAACTTCCTACAGTGGCCTTTGCCTCCTTTGATCGATCAGCCTGAGAGACACTTCCATGTGCTAACGGCTGCAATGTGGAACTCGCACCCGTTGTGTTATTTGCATATCAAGAACACGCAAGTTAAGTTAACCTGTTAATACACTGTAACAAGGCGTCTCAAGATAGGAGTGCTCCTTCACATGCCTTACACAGCTTCAGACTCCCCATGAAGTTTAATAAACTGATACTATTTACCCACAGCTTACGTGCCCCTAATGCGATGGTCTACGCTCCGTCAGACCAATATGAGTAGGATGCCTGGGCAGCTCTCCCAGCTGAGAAAGCATGGATCATTGTAGAAGGTAGAGTTTTATAATAAACAGTACTTAGTGGACAACGCCATGTGTATTCTCCCACTTCCTGCACTTTTGAAACCAAAGGTACCTTTGCTGAGAGAGATCGGATTTCTTCAGACAGTTTCACGGATGTAGAACTATGTTAGGATGGATTTTTCTTTCATTCCTTTTTTAAAGGAGATGTTTTTGTTCAGCATAATGGATTAAATGCAATAGGATTAATGCAATTATTCTTTTGGCTTTCAAGCTGGTTTGCTATGAAGACATATTGCTAACAAGAATACTTCTACTAATATGGATTTTTTAGATGTACTTTGCCACATTCTCTAAGCTGCTAATGGCACAACTCTCCTGCATTTCCAGGAAGAGAAGCCAGACTAGGTCAACAGCTACGCAACACACTGTTGAACCACACAGAGAAAACAGAAGGGAGAGCTGGATGCAAACCGAATAGCAAAGGAGTTAGATGTACCGTATGAACAACTGGTGTTAACAGGTGGCAGAGGTCCTTCCTCTAGCGAGGTGTACTCCTGCTACCATAGTCTATACCACAGAGGAAGTCATCTGCCACGGTCCTTTGTCCGTGTAGCCTTGACAGGGGTAGGAATCGTAAGTGTTGCTCTGCTCTCAGTGTAAATGCATTAATGCAACAGGCCTAATTCTAATGCAGTCTCTTGCCACTGATCCATTGCAAGGAGAGCTTCTCCCAACCTGTTCCCAGGAGATGCAGCAATTGTTTTCAATTTTTAAGCAAACACATTAGGCCAAATCTAAAACAGCTCCCAGTCAAGGGGATAACAGCTTCCCATGCCTATGGCTGTCCTTACAGCAATGTTTGAGTTTGCGTAACTTCTTGCCCAGCCACCCGTGGAACTGAGGAGAGATAGAAACCTACAGCCTTCGCTACCAAAAACAGCCTCTGCCACTGGAGCTGGTTATCTTCATTCACAGTCAGCACAGGAAATTCTTACTGTTACGTGGACCTGCTGCTAATAGGGAACACAAACCCCTTGGCTACCATGCAACATCTCCAAACCTCGAGAAAGTTGGTCAGACACTACTGGAAGCAAGGTGGTCTGCGTTGTGTATCCGTATTATGTGCCATTTGTATTAAAGCCTATATTTATGTCCTGTCATTAACCATCATTTTATGGAGTAAACCTCTTAGCATCCATTTGGAAACAGAACAAGATAAGTGTTTCACACTGTACCATTTCAGTCTACGCCCCGCGCACGATAACACACTTCAGCAAGCAGGGATGGAAGGAGCAGCACTCACACCAGCTAAGTCACGGCCTTCCTCCAAAAGGTCTTGCAAGAACATTTAAACAGTCTGACCACTGTATTACTTACTAAGTAACTAGCAAAGGAAGGTGGTGTCTACAGAGGGCCCAGTGGGGACAAATGGCTTGGTGTAAGTTACTTGTAGTCTCGTATTGGCTTGGTATAAAATTACTCAAAATTTGTAAGATTTGGTAAAAACGATAACATTTCTTTGAAACCGCCCCTAGAGTTTTGGGACCAAGAGAAAATTCTCACTAAATCTCTACATTCAAAACTCATACAGAGCTTAACATTTTCTACTCCCTTTAATAAAGATTCAGTAGATGTTTCCACGTGCAGTTACTGTGTTAGTGGCAGTGAAGCCCTTGCTTGCTCTGAATACAAAAGCCACTAAACTCCTGATAAGCAAAGTGAGTTCACGCTGCCCTGAAACGTGCTCACCTCTGGGAAATAAGTGTCACAGCCTTGGTGATATGGCACCCAACTCTTGCATCAGGCATATGCTTCTGCTGAGTGAATTTTGCCTGACCATAGGGAGACTGATGGGACATACCGTGAAGACATGCACTCAACCCCCAGGCTGGCTGTGCTCATAGATCTATCGCTGTCTGTTCTACCGCAAGGCGAGCAACGGAGACATTAAGTCTTCCTGTCCCCTCACGTGGGTCCATGCGAACTGCTTGGCTTCTCCATTCACCATGAGACCCCAGGGGCTTCCTCCCCTAGGCAAAAAGCACAGCAGAAGAGGCACAGCAGTCCCTCCCCAGCGAGGATGGGCCAGAGCTCTTGGCACTCACTGCCTACCTAACCCCAAGAATTATTTGAGGACAGGGAGGGCCCCAGACGAGCCAGCCTCAAGCGGCCCCTCTGCTCAGGGGGCAGGACCCCTCCAAAGCAGTCGGTCTCCATTAAAGGATGGCCTCCCCTCCCTGGGATCTTTACAGGCTCTCAGGAGCAGGTCATGCTTTGAACTTTTTTTCCCCCACAGAAGATACATCTTCATAAAGGGTTTAAATTAGGGGCTGACATGAAAAAGAGAGAGACGAGCCAGATCTAAACAAATCAAAGTGCTCTCAGAAGATGGGGAAAAAAGGGTTTTAGTCCAATTCGAAACTTGCATACTTGAGCCTGTTTCTGAAATGGCCTGAGCCAAAACCTCATACATGTTCTGGAGATGGATACAAACTTTGTGGTGGATGCTGAGTGCATCCAAGCCCAGGGACACAAATCTGCACCTCTCTGACACACAACCTTTTCCTATTCGAAATCCTCCTCCTGCAGAACCAGCTCATACTAAACACAGCAGTGCAAGCACGGGATAAAAGAGAACAGCTACTATGTTTACATGGTCTTGAGGCTGCTCCTATTTTCCTTGAAGTGATGTTCCAGTAAGAGGCGGTAAAGCAGCAGGAACAACTCAGTTGTGGTGTGAGCTTTTCTGAAATCCTGCTTACAGAAACACGACCAGTCTATACAATCTGGAAACCAGGTCATAACGTTCCCTCAACACACATACACACACCCTCCTTCCAGCATTTCCTTCTTGCCTACAGAAGACCCCAAGTGCATGTGTTAAGAGTCACTTCTGACCCTAGAGATCAGTCTTGTCAATTAGGAGCTGCGTTAAGTGGCCAAGCGAGATGCTGCTCCCGCTGCAGCTGTTCTGCGGGGAGCAGGACTGGCAAGAGGGCAAAGATGTACAGCACTTATCAATCATTAGACTCGTGTCTCTTTGACATGCCTTACCTGTCGAGCAGCACTCGTTCGATGTGCCGTGGCCTTTCCCCATTTGCGCTAGTGGCTGTCCTGGGAAGTCTGATCCAGTGGATTCCTCCTCTCCTTCGGCGTGTAGGTCCCAGTAGAACAGCGAGTTCAACCTGTAACATAACGTTCATTGTACCAGGCTTAATTGTGTGCTAGCAGCAAATGATTTCAGTTAAGCAATAAAAATGAATAAACAAACCTTGTAAAAATAATTTAAAAAAAAAATCACGTTCTATTTCTTGCACTATGACCTGTTTTATTAAAGAAAATAATAATGCTTTTCTGGTCCTTACAAACAAAAATAACCCAATACATCAGTAGCTTCCCCTCTGCCTGGCAATGCCTGTCTCTCCATGTCCTTCTCAAGTGGGCATCGGTCTTTGATTGTCAAATGCAGTCTAAAACCTCCATGTCAAATCTGCAAAATAGACTTTTTCCTTTGCAGTACAAAGTTTTAACTGTTTGTTTCCTTCTGCTTACATCAGGAAGAAAATATTGGAATGTTTTGTTTTTCTATAATTTGTAAATATATATCCATCCATCCTCTCTGTAAAACCTCCTTGTTGTTCTAAAGTATTCTATGTATTTATTTGCCTTTTTTTAAAGCAAAAAACCAACACCTTTGAGTTAATCCACTTTTTCCAGAAAGAAATGTATATCTGAAGCTGTAAAATTAACAATTTACAGCAAGAAGATTTATGGACTACAGAGAAATGTTTAATATAAGGACTTATAAACTGACTGCATGAGAGATTGAAAAAGGCCAAAATACTCAGATATCATTTTTTTGAATCACTGTAAAAAGAAAAGACTGGATTTTTTTGTATAGAGAACACTAAACATATAATAAAAACATTGTTCAAAACTCATGCTAAGCCTGCAATTCGTTTCCCTCAGCTTCCGAAAGGTAAAAGGGGCTCCGCTCCGCCTCTGCTGCTGCCGCCTCCCCAGCGGCACCGGGAGGACGCTCCGCAGAGAGCGCGTCTCGCGTGGCCTCTGCCGCCTGCACCAAAACTGCAAAGACACCCGGTCCCGACCTGTCCCCCAGCTTCCTCACGTGGCTCCCCACCATCCTCCCCAGCTCGTCGCCCCGGGAGGGAAGGGGGGGCCAGGCTGCTCCGCGGGCCCCCAGCAGCGCCAGCACGGGCTCCCATCGCCTCTCGTGCCGCGTCCGCGGGAAGGGACAAAGCTGGTGACTGCTTCAGGAGAGCCAGCCGCCCCCTTGGACACCTCTGAGGGCCCAAGAACGACATGTCTGATGGAGCACAAAGCGGAGGCACTCAAGGATGCACCTGAGTGCGACTGGTTATATGGAAGATCTGCAGAGCCAACAGGTTTTTGCTCGAGTCACCGTGGCAAAACCTCTCCGACTCCGAACACTCGTCGTTTCTGGTGACGCTGGCACAGGTGAGCCCCCTCCCTGCCTGGCTGCAGGATAACTTGTGACGGTAAGTGACATCCATGGGAAACCACTTACAACTCGCATCCACGCCAACAAATCAGAGGCAGCACGCCATACCCGGAAAGCACTGCTCAGGCGATAGTGAATCTGTACAAACACTAGGAACGGTTTGTCTTACATCCCTCCTTCCATCCCACCTTCAGAAATTATATTAGCGGATGTCCAAGGTTGTTGGGACTTTGGGGAATCGGCACGGCCTACAGCGCTGTCTGCTGGACTCTTTCACGTGCAGCTATTGCAGCGCTCAGGCCACCTCCTTCAGCTTGAGCAGTTACCAGCCACCCCAAGACTGATGCTTTTGGAGGAAAGACCAACTGATTATAGACCACAGAGCACAATGGGCTCTTCAGCCAGCCAGAGGGCCAAGAGCTCGCTCCAGCAGAGCCCCAGAGCTCATCCAAGCTCACAACAGCTCCCTCCATTTTAAACTTCTCCTTGATTACGGGGATAGTGGGGGGGGAGGGGTTCAATAGGACCATCCAAGTGACGAAGTTTCCCAGCACATGTTACACGTGGCGCGTACAAAGGCAGCAGCTCACTAGCGGCCACAGAAGGATGAACAGCAGCCAGAACACTCCTGCAGAAATAGAGCGTCCTTTTATCACATCAGTGATTCTGCTAAAGATGATTTGACCAAGCTGTCCTCAGCTCATCCTCTGCTACACTGCTAGACCACTTAGCCCTTGGTTTACCCAGGCAAAGCAGTACAAGTACTGGGCCAAGACTTGCAATGATAAGATATCTTAGAGGCTCTGTTTTTAGAAGCATCTCCAAAGCGCCGCTTGCAAAGAGCTCACCACAGGACAGGCCCGTGCTCAGATGTGAAAGCAGCAGCAAGGGTGCTGGGCCGGGAGTAAACGCTCCAGCACAGCAATCTGCCCATGCTTTCCTCAGCACGACATTTCAGCAGGCTCAGGGCTGAGGGGGCAGTTCCCAAATCCCATGCAAACTCACTCATGTGCACCGGCTCCAGGATTTCTACTGCACATTGCACGCTGCAGACTTGTGGAAAGAGGCTCACACGAGGTGGGCCAGCAGGCCAGCGCGTTCAGCATCGCCCTCGCACGTCAAACTCGCTGCCCTCCAGCTGACACGCTTTGGCCAGGGGTCAGCGACTGCCTGGCTCCAGGTCACCCGGCAGAGCCCACGGGGAGCCGTGCAGGGAGAAGGGCCTGGCAGGCAGCGGGGCTTCGCTCCCGCTGCATCTGCGCAGCCCCTCCCCTGCCAGTCCCCAGCACCTCCAGCCCGCAGCAGGCCAGGAGCCCTGCAACGCTGCAGCCAGGCGTGCCCTAAGCAGCAAACGGGTGCTTTGTTCGTTAAGCCTGGCAAGTCTCCAGGTAGAAATGAAGAGACTGAAACGTGGGAGCTGTTCAAAGCACTGGGATAAGAAGCTGTCTCTGCGAAGAGCGTATCAGAAGTATCTTGGATAAACAGGGAGAGAGCTGCCATGCAGGCAGAGCGCTGACATATCTCGCTGCACATCAGCTTGCCGAGGCAAGGCTCTTTGCAAGGAGCCACCGTGCCGGCTCACAGCTAGCACAACACCGCTGCCTGATGGATCAGCGCCTTGTCAGCAGCTTGGCTGGGAAGCACGCGACAGAATATTTAACATGGGGAGGGAAGCCTGTTCTCCAAAAGAACAGAGCATACCACCAGGATTTCATCTGCTGCCCTGTCTGATACTTGTCAGATAGGCAACTGCTGTGAAAGTTGGATAGTTTAACTTCCATCCTACCTGTCACCCAGTTTCAAATAGTTGCACACGTCTGCCAGCCCAGAAACAGTACTTTTTCCATTAGCAGAACCATTCACCAAGGAACTGCAAGAACAGCCACAGCCATAATTACTGATGACAACCCACGTGGGAGCACGCCGCTCCTCGTGAAACCCTCGCTGACCGATTCACAGAGGCCAGCGAGCACCTCTGGGCAGAGGATGGCATTTTTGCCAGCTGGAGGTGCCGAGGCACAGAGAGCAACGGTGACTTGCCCACGCAGGGAGGAAGGCAGCCCTGCACAGCTCGCGCAATCAACACAGCAGCCTTGCCCAGGCTCCCACTGACCTGGGTGCACTTGTGATGCTGGCTTGACACGTTGCTCTACT